GCTTCGTCTGCTAAGCTATCTTGCTGGCCATGACAGCGCTTTATTGAGTGCAAAAATCTTAAAATAATATAAGGGAAACATTATAGTAGAGTAAGTATTGTTGTAAATGTCAATTAAATATCACAAAGAGGCTTAAATATATTTGCTTTTATATAAAACCTGAGTCAGTATTGATCAGCTATGATTTCCCTGCAGTACCTAGAGCATTCACTACCTGGTAAACTGTCCCAGAAAGTGTGGGGCTCCATGTCCACAACACTGTGCCCCTGGCACTGTTCTTAATGACATCTGCCATTGGACTGTAACAGTATTAATACTGTGAATTTTATATGTACACTAAAGTACCAGGAATACAGCTGGCTGAATTATTAAACTTGTCAAGAAAAACATTAGGAAACTGGTGAGTAAAAGAATGAATTGTTCAGTTTGGCGTAAAGATTATATAAAGGTAAGAACAATAACAAAACCCGAAAATTTAATGAATATTAGTGTGGCTACTCTAACGCAACAACATTTCATCTTTTGCATACACTTATCTCGTGTAAGTCCCTGAATAAGTCCCTGAAATTAGGTATTCATTATATACCTAAACTATAACTTCACAATGTGTCAATACTGTCACTAAGATCTGCTAGCCCACATCAATAAGCTGAGGATATTTCTAACATCAAACTTTATGGTAAACACTGAAAATATTTCATCTTCCATCACAAGCAGAAAGATAACTTACGTGTTTATGTACGCGTAAAATAAGAGTATGCTGTGTTATATGCGGCAGGGTTACATTTTCATAATGTCACTTGCCCTTTTTAATGATGATGTTTAATTGATCGGAGAGGAGACATCCGTCTTGTAGTATATGAAAGATGAGTTGTGGATTTCTCCCCTTAAATTTCTTTCACAAGATTAACAAGTGCTCTGGTGCTATGAGTCTACTCTAATCCCTAAGAAAAACTTTCAAGGTTTAAAAAATTATTTTAAAAACTTATCTTAATCTATAACCTTCACACAAAAATATTTTTTCATCACAAACATTGGCTTTTACTCCTTACGAAACACAGGAAAGCATACATTTTTAAGGGGGAATAAGAAGTCCTTAGAATATGTTTTGGGCTTTAAATATATATTACACTCACAAAGGAAATGAAACTGCTAAATTACTTTATGCTGTCGCTGTACCTATTCATAAAATAATGGTTTTCAGAAAATGTTACAGAATAAGTTTTGTCTTCATTGGACAGTTTTTCCCCCATTAAAATAAAGATGTCCAAAATCTTTAGTCACTTTGCCCTGGTAGCAAATGGCTCTTTTCAGCTTGCTAAGATAGCCAAGTATTTTTCAAGCAGGTTTCTCCTATTATTTTCAATAAGAATCAGCCACAAAGATTTGTTTGCATTAAGATAGTAGAAACTTTTTTGAAAAATTTTAGGCAGAACTGTTTGCCTTTCAAATGTTAGTGAGCAAATATTTACATCTTAATTAGCAGTAATTCCACCCTTATGGGTATGCCAGAAAACAAAATTTCAAGGCTTCTAGGGTTTCATTTTTTTTAAAACTAGGAATAAGCGATTTATAAAAATAAAATTTTCACAATTTCCGATAAAGTGCCCTCATCCTGATGAATTTGTTTTCATATTCCCAGTGCTAATTTTCTTGCTTTTTCTAAACTTCTTCTTTTGGAATAAGGTTGAAGTATGAACCCTCTGCAGTGCACATCTCCACAGGAAGCTTGGGGAAAACAATACAGGTGCCTTCTAATTGGACCAGAAAATGAGACATTAAAACGTTGACCTGATTTAAAAGGAAGTGTACTGTGAAAACATTTGCATAGTTTTTACATCTAGTGGCCGCGGCCGGATCCTCCAACCTCAGGAAAGAAAATGTCTTCCTTGAAAGAACTGGAGGTCTGGACTTTTAAAACTAACTTGTTTATTTTTATGAGATCTTCTGGAGCCTATATATGGTATATCCTATAGTTTGCTGGAAAAGAAGTCACACTTTGCTTGGGAAAAGTCCCCCATTCCAGTGATAAACTACTGCTTGCTTTGAGTCACCATTGCTGCGTACTATGAGATAAGGACACAGAGTGTTCTGTGCCACCGTCAGTGTGTGTTACTAGGACATGCCAGAAACACAGGATCTGCGTGGTAGTGGCATGTTACAAATACAGGTCACAGTGCTTGAGGACCTCACAGACGCACAAAGAGTGAACTTCCAGTTCTACTCACTTGGGAATACCAATACTTCACAGGAGGTTAGCAGACGCTCTAAAACATCAGGTAACAGAGCAACCAATGTTTGAATCTAATGTGACACACGGCACAAAATGGGCTGGAAGAGCTCACCCGTGGCCTTCCAACTTCTAAACAGTACTTAAATTTTGACTCGATATGCTTCTTTAAATTTACAGACTTATCTGTACTGTTTTTTAAAGAACGACGTTGAGAGACAAAGTTTTGAGATTGACAGACCCAAACCTCACCAAGAAAAGAGTATTCTGAGAATGAAAGAAAAGCTATTACTAGATAAGCGACACTAACGTGAATGCACCGGGGCTCCGGGCTAGGTATGAAGCTTAAAGTGTCCACGACAGTTTATATAAAACCATGTGCACGGCTGAAAATGAACAAGTTATGACAAAAGCAAAACTGCACACTTCTGATACACTACTTTATACAATAGCAGCATAAACTCTGTTTAATTTTAATGAGAAATTTCTCATTTCTTTGCCTATGCAAACAACACCATTTTCAAACTCTCTTTGTGCTAATAGGTGTACAACATGAAAGGTTAAAATGCCTTATGTAACTAAGGGCGATTCGTATTCAAGTAAAAAGTACTAAGATGTTCAAAATTAAAAAACAGACAGAAAGATAAATGAAAAAAATTGCACATCAGGTTGGGTTCACTTCTGTGACATGAATATATTTCAGATGACAAGGTCAGACCTTCCACTTTTTTTCTGTGATCCAAGGAGCGCACAGTCCTGGGTCCTTACTACAGGGTCAGCACTAGAGGCATCATGGTGTGGAAGGTGGCTTTGGAGAGGAGCACGATCCCTGACTATCAAAGCTGGTGGCCTGGCCAGGTAGCTGAAAGACAGTAATTTTTATATTTTCTAGTGCATAAGAATAACGCAGTGGGTAATTGCAGCTCCCTTATAATACTGAGTTTCTACCCACCACCTACAAATCGGAAGAGGAGATGTCTGTGACTCCCCGGCCTGGAGAACTTACCCTTGCAGGTTGGCTGAGAGGACACGAATGGTCAGGGGTGTACGCCGAGCATGGTGCATGGATGGTACGCAGAGCAGCACTCTATAGCAATTATGTATGACAACAGAATAATTTCATACTTCATGATAGAGTTTTAATGCTTTTGATAAAATAATGGCTTACTACAGTGAAGGTAGTTGCTAGGCGAGGGCAACAGGAGGGTTTGCACACACACAGCGCTGCATTCCATCGGCTGCAAGCGGGAGGTGATTCTTGCCCCAGTACTAGGGATTGAACCCAGGTGCTGTCGAGCCATAGGCAGGGTCTCACTAAGTTGTCCAGCTGGGATCAAACCTGTGATCCTCCAGATTTTCCTTTCTGAGGAGCTGGGCTTACAGGTATGAACCAGCACACCTGGTTCATGAGGCGATTTTAAAGGGAGGCGATGAACGAGATGAGAAGGAGTGAGTTTGGGGAAGTGGGAGCTGTGATTGAGGAAGAATAGTTCATCATGATCCTTACATATCTGTGTATTTAAAAAGTTAAATCAATAGAATAAACTTTCAATTATGTAGGTAGCAGTAATCAGATCTTCCAAATGACAGTGCAGCCTGCCTCATTGTTACCCAGCTTTTGAATAATTGTTTTCTTGAATTTATTCCTTCCCTGGCAAGAGTACACCATGACATACTGATGTTCTCCCATAATGAGAAACCCAGCCAGTTCTTAGGGCTGGTCCGCATGTACATTTGACCCATAAACGTAGGATTAGGGATCTCAAGAAAGAGGCTGCTTGCTGCAGAAAGTACAGCTGCACAGACTTCGAGTCCCACTGGTCCTCTGATACTCAGTTATCAGACAGTACCTGCCAGGGCTTGGGAGATAGCTCAGTAGAATAAGCACTTGACTGGAAAGCACAAGGGCCTGAGTTCAATTCCCGGTTCTGCCAATAAAAAAAAAAGGGAGTACCTGGCATCTCTTTATACCATAGCTGCCCATATGGTAGCTTCCTCATCGCCTTGAACACCCATGATGACTGAAAAGTGCTTGTGTTGTTCTCTGATATGAACACATATGAATTCCACAGTCCAGTTTATCAGATAAATATACAACAGCTTAGTAAGTGGTTATCCAAAATTAGGATGCTTTAGGTTCTGTATCACCTTCCTCGACGTCTGCTAAAATTCATGCTCCAGTGATGTCATTTCTCCCTGCACCACCCCACTAAGCCCACAGGGACAGTAACTTGCCTATAAGGTCAGGGATTGTGTTCTGTGGGGCTGGTGCCTGACCAAGATCTAATTCCCTTGTCTCAATGCTCAGGATTAATTTTCAGTTTTCTAACAAAAGAAACAATGACAACCAACAAAAAGAGAGGAGAACCGTGGAAAGGATAGTAACTAACAAGCAGTAGATAATAGTTTTTACAATATCCACTGTTGGCCTGAAAAACTTTTCAAGACTTACTGAGCATTTCAGAGAATATGCATGCCTACTTAGCAGACTCTAGGGAAAAACTCCATGTGACTGGGGATCTCTCCGCCTCTCTGCCCCTGTCTCTCTCCATCTCTCTCTGTCTCTGTCTCTGTCTCTGTCTCTGTCTCTGTCTCTGTCTCTCTCTTTCTCTCTCCCTCTCTCTCTCTCCTTCCCTCCCTCCCTCCTTCTCTCCCTCCCTCCCTTCTTCCCTCCCTCCATTCATCAAGTCGTCCCTCTGTTCTCCTTATATTAAATTATTAAGTCTCATGAAGGCTTGGGGGATTCATACGTACAGAGGTATAAGTGACGACAGTTTACTTCTGTCACTTGAACATTCAGTGCTCATCAAATTTTCTCTACGGTGTCTTTAGTAATACAGTCAAGGCCATGCTTCTGTGACCAAGTTGCCATTGGACTCATGTTCTATTGGTCTTTAGCCAAACATGGTGCACTGTTTTTCCATTTCTCCAAACCAGTGCCTAGTGCCCAAAGCAGAATCAGAATCTTACCCCTGGGGAGATGGTGAAAGTGTCACTCACTTACTGTGTTACCTTCCTGTTGGTGAAATGCGTGCAATCTTTCATCTGCTAGTTACCCTTTTTGGAACCTGCATTCCCTCTAAATTCATCAAGTCTGCATAAATTACTTGTCCTATGACTCTTCAGGAGGCTCCAGATGTTATCTTTTGGAAAGAAAACCATTCTCTCTGGTGACATGCATTGTGTCCTGTAGACTGACAACTAATTTCGTGACTAGAATTCCAGATAGGAAATGCATCTTACTCTTTCCTCTGGCTAATATTAATAATAATTATAATAAGGGCTCACATTGTACCATTTCTTGTGCCAAGTCCTGAGTATTCAGCACTACCTTAACCTTACTCTGAATTTACTACTACTATTATAGAAACCTAGCAGAAACTCAGAGAAATAGAGCGATTTCAGCAAGATCCCACAGTATTCACAGTGGAGTCAAGCCTTGCATCAGGTAAGCTTGCCCCTCAGTGTGCCATATCCTGCTGGCTCTTCTTCACCAGGGTTAGAGCAGAAGGGGTTATGTGTGTCCCCTACATAGAAGCACTGTGTTAGGTGACAGTGACTCTCTCTAAGGATTCTTAAATGGAAGCCTCCTTAGGTAAGGTGATTGTCTTTACAAAACAAAGGTGCTCAACTTCAGTTTCCACTTAGCAATAAGCTTACTGGGTTGTGTCACGAGTCAGTGGTGTAAGTTTTCAATTTATGTGAACGAAATGATATAGTTTCAGTGCTCATGGCCCATTGTGCAAAACTTTGGAAGGTCAGCTGGGTGTGATGCCATATCTAGTAACTGCAGATATTTTGGAGCTGGAGACAAGAGATTTGCAAGTTTGAGACCAGCCTTGACAACTGAGTGAGAAACTCTCTCACTATAAAATTCTAAGAGGGCTAGAGAGGTGACCCAGAGATATGTACCTGTGCATGTTCAATTCCTAGTACCACACATGTGAAAAAAAAAGCAAGCAGGCAAGCAAGCAAATAAAGAAAGAAATCTGAAGCCTAGAATGTATAGTGGATTTAAAAACTCATGGTACATGCAAAACTTTACCCAGTAGATATCAGACACTGCAAGGCAAAAGCATGAGATATTTTTCACAGGTGAATGCATACAACACTAGGGAAAGCTTAGTAGAAAAGTAATACTTAAGCAAAAGAGGTGACACAGAGTGTGGAGGCAAAGAGGCTGGGTGCTCACCTCCAGCAAGGGGTGCCAGTGGGTGATGGGCTTCCGGTGGTAGGCCAGCATCTCGTGCCAGTGGTCGCGCCCCAGGCCCTCAGCGTCTATCCCAGTTCTGCACACTCCTATGACCTCATTGTGTCCCACCCTAGGGTTTGTAGAATATCATGTTTTCATCTCCAATACTTAAGTTACATAAAACCTCACCTACATCAGTAGAATTTTGAACACACCATTAAAGCTCTTTGAACTGCATAGACTACAGAACCCCAGCCCAGCATTTGCGTTTCTACTTTCCACGTTGTAGATAGCTATTGTTTATCATGACTCAAAAATATGCAGTAGAAAACTCCAGAAGTAATCATGAGTTTTAAGTAACTTTTAATGCAATACACTGCTATAGTTTTTCTCTGCTTAGTTGTCAATCTTATACTGTGACAACTAGATTAAATTTTGTCAAAGGCATATATGTATAGGAAAAAAAACCAGTGACATAACATTTGGTATTTGCCTCGGCTTCAGTCTTCTGTGAAACATACCCCCCTCTCTGCAGCTGGGAGGGATGACTATATACTATAGCTGATCCAATGAAAAATTGTAATAAAAATTACTAAAGAGTAACAACATTCAAACTGAATTTGTTTAAGAACACACACCATTTCAATACTCTGAATGGGAGCACATTTCACAATCCTACAAATAGAGTCAATGCAAAGGAACCCATAAGCCCTTACCTACAAGATGTGTTTCTTTCTTGGAAGTGATCCTGTTACATATACGGGATGCCAATCAAACCCTGCCCCTTTTACATGGTTTACTGTTTTATAACCGTCTTTACATTTCACACTAAGAACACAGTTCCCACTTTCTTGTGTAGTGTCTCTAAACACCATGTCAGTTTATGTAACTGCCTGTACTATAGTTACACACGGCTGCATTATGGTCCATCCCATGTATTTGCCTTATTGCAACACAGTATTATCAGGGCCATACTCCTATTGTCTATTCATGTCTTGCTTTTGCAGTAACAAATCAAAACTACTAACAGTTGCTAGGTTGGAGGGCTTACCGCGTCCAGACAGCGTCCAGACAGTGTCTAGGAAGCTTAAATGTGCCAGCTGCTGAGGCTATGAGCATCACTCTTGCTGCCTCCTTAGGTAGCTCAGCGAAGTGCTCTGCAGCTTGAACTTGCTGCGCAGCGATCAAGTCAGGCACTGAGCTGACCTCAAGCACCTGAGCGCAGGTGGAGGCAGGATTCGCCCTGCAGGGCAGCAGGCTCAAGTGTGTGTGCATTCAGCTGCTTCTTGTGAGCAGAATGCAGTTGAAAGGAATCACTAGAGAGTGAACTGACAGACGTCCCTAAAGGGATGTTCAACATGATTCTACATCTTTATTGCTTTCTTATCACTAATGCAGATTTATGATTCGTATAATTTCCCTCAACATGTAATTTCCCTAGCGAACACATTTCGGGGGTAACTTTTTATCAACCTATTTTATATATCACTAGGATCCATTTACTCAAAATTGCTGGATGCCAAATGTTCAATTGCATCTACCTGTGCATATTCCTGTGGAAAGCCAGTAAGTGTTACTGATAAAGCAAAACAAGATTACTGATGAAACACTTATAATATTGTTTGAGTTTGACATATGAACTAATTTGAAATCATTACAAAATAGTTTTTCTTTGATGCAAATCACTTTATTTTCAGTCCTCCTCCAGCTCTGAGCCAGAGAATGGACCTTTAATTTCCCAGGATGCCAGGGTCATGGTTACTGTCACGTAAGAGAAAGTTACTGCCTGCTAAGAGAAGAGCCCAGAAGCTCTTGTGCATTGTACCAGTTGCGTCCTTAAGAAAAAACAAAAATGAGTCTGTTTATGTGCTAAGCATTTTGTAGGTGAAAGATGCAGTATTTTTTTTTCCCAAAATGTTCCTAAGTACAAAAAGCAAAGTAATAAAAAGGAGTATGTAGTATGGACTGAGTAAGAGATAGGAATCTCCAGTGAGACCAAAGGTCAGGGGCCAAGGAGGCTGAAAGCCTGGAAATGCTGGGAGTTGTCCAGAGCTGGGTGGTGAAGCAGGGGAGGGTGAGGTGCCAAGTGGAGGGTGCTCAACCAGGGAAATGTGGTGGGGGGCTGAGCTGGGAGCCACAGCCAGAAGACCTGCCCTGAGGCACCGAGGGGCTGCAATGCACCTTATGAAAGGGGAAGTAACTCAAAGCATTTGAGAGGGAAACCCTCATCGAAGACTGTCTTAAGATTGGCGTGAGCCATCCTAGCTGTCTCCCCATGGCCACACTTCCCCCTTGGCTCTCCATAATTCTTGCCCACAGAAGTCGGGACCCTATCGTGGCTTGGCCCTAGGCTCTCCTTTCACAAATGGGAAAAGCGAGCCCCAAAATATGACGGACCAACGCTCTCCACAACTGGCTAATGATTCAGCCTCACTGTGCTAACAAGCGTGACTGTAACCTGTTACTACTGGAGCAAGACCTCAGGGTGGACATTTTCCACAGTGCTTTCCACTCCACCTGTGGAGCTAGTCTCACACGTGGCCCAGGTGAGATGAGGTGACATGGAAGCAAAGGTAAAAGAAACCCTAAAACTATAACAAAACATTGACCCATGAATGTATATTTTCCCTACTCCAGTATAAACTAAAATGGTTGCAGTAGCAAGAAACTGAAAAGCTGAATCCAACTAGCACGCTACTAAACATGGCTGCCCCTCTGTAGGGAGAGAGACCCCGTACCTGTCATAATCCATGACTGCGATGGAGAGGCTGACCTGGTCCACGTTCTCTGGAGGGATATCAAAAATAATGGCCTCATTGTACACAGGGTTGAGAGTGTTCTTCTTTATGGTTGTTTTCCTTTTCTTTAGTCTTTTACCCTCACACATCAGAGACACTTTGACATAAGGATCTAGGAGTGGGAAGATAACTTTGTTAAAATGAAAATATTTGTGCAGAACATACATAAAACTAGCAATAAGCACTTTAGGATTGCTAGTTTGAAACTGGGATGACTTATTTGGGGGCAAAAGATTCTCTAGGACTTCTTCTCTTAAAGGGAAGCAATCAATCCTGAATAAACTAAACAAAGATTAGTTTGATCACACTGGTTTTAATATAAGAGAGGAAACTACCTAGTTTATGAAGAGTCAGTGCTGAACTATTACATCGTTTGGTCATAGCTATTTGAGGAGTCATTTTGTGAGAAGCGATTTACAGGAAGTATAAGTAGAACAAATGCCAATTATAGTCAAGTTTCTTTTCTGTGAGGTGATTTAAGATGAAGAGCTTGGAAAGATGCTATGTGGATGAGTCTATATAATCTCAATGAGTAGAAATTAAAAAGGAAAAAAGTAAAGGAAGCTTGGAATTTTCCTCTCTTGCTGAATAAGGTACTACAATTAGGCGTAATATCTTTGTACTCCATAAGGCATTTGGATTGCTTGATAAAGAGTTTGGATTGAAGAAACAATCACTACAAAAATTAGTAAATATATTGCAACTTGTGATATAAAGGTAGTGTTTCTTTTATAATGTTCAGAAAGAGGACTCTGCTGTGGCATTATCCATGTGTCAATTGGAAAGAAAAAAAAATTAGCTGGCTATATTTTCATGTGCCTAAGACATCAAGGGATTGTTAACAAGTTCTTCCCCAACTCATTGTATTCCTATCTCCTTACCCTTACTATCTTCTATTTTAAGAAGAAAAATAGTTACAGCATTACAGAAGATGTGCAGCAGCTCTGAAGCCGCCCCATGGCTGTGCAAGTTCATAGGTAAAACAATCAATTTGCCCCGTCGTGCCTCCTTGTCCCTTCATCTTGCCAACCCCTCCTGTTGTGTGGCCAGCTCTCTCTCCATTTCCACAGCAATATATTTTAATTCCTTTCTAATTAATAGTAACATTCATTTATTAAGTTTGTGGGTTTTGAATTTGATGGAAATATACATATATTTCCATTGAGGAACCAAAGATATCAGACACCTAGCAATAGTACTTGTGAAGGACGAAATAAAAGAGCAGCACTCAGGCCTGTTTACTACTCATTTCTAATATTTTAAAGGATGGGAAGAGTGCGCTAAGGAAGGAGCCCAGTTGGTGACGCACTTGTGGCTGAGCTCGCAGGCCTCTTAACAACAGGAACGAGGCGGTGTGTCCTCTGCTACCCCCGTCACGCCTCTGGTTGGGTTGCTCTGCTCCTGACAAGCATAATTTGCTGGCTTCTTGGTTGATTCACAGGCCTGTTGTGAGGATTAATGAGGTGGTACTCAGGCACCAGCTCCTCTGCTGAAAGCTTCATATTAAAAAAAAGCCATCTTGCACTTAATTACAACTTTAATGCTGTTTACTTGTCTTAAAATTTGATCTCTTTTGATACATGGGAAAAAGGGTAGAATAAAACAGTAATTTACAGAGTATGCTGTTTATCTTAAGTTCTCCAACACTTACTCAAAAATGTTCACTAAAATAAGTGCAGAATTTACTGGGCATTCTACATTTATCAATACACTATGTTTTGTAAAATTTTAAAAAATAGGTAAGTTATAGTACAGTTTAAGCACAAAGGTGCCGGAGAAAGACAGGTAATAGAAAGCCTTTCTTCCGTCTGTCCCCATTCTCCAACAATGCCCATTGGTCTTCATGCATTGTTCCTTCATTTCTTCACTCAAATACTGGCAATATGAATGGAAGTCTTAAAATCTTTTATTCCTGCAGACACGAGCAGGATACCAATGTTGTTTCTGTACATTGTATACCCTAGAGCTCTTTTTCTATCAGAACTTGGAGCTCTATCTTGCTTTTCATGTGAAATTTGCTTTTCTTATAAGATGCACAAATTTACAGATGCTCTTCCCTATTGCCATGCCCTACCATACCTCTACTGTTATTTATTTAACCTAACAAATACCTACTGTCCTTCCCACTTGTCCCTTATCATTTTTCTTCTACAGCACCATGCCAATGCTCCTGTAATAAGTTACAAATAATCTTGCATAGTGGCAGGGATTTAAGTGACAGATATGGGATATAATATGGCTTTTCCTCTTTATTACATACAAGCTCCCTTCAAGAGTGCCTTTAAGAACTTCAAGAAATATTTCTTTAGTTTAATGATTCTTGTAGTCCCTACAAATGCCAAATCTTGAATTGGAAAAGGGGCAAGAAAGCCAGTGTGGTTGGTGGTCTTGGAACACTTCCTCTGCAGATGAGGTGAAGGGAAGAAAGCTAATGTAAACATGTCTTCTGATGGTCCACAGCTTGAAGTCTACGAGCCCTCCTTCATAAATATTGGACTCACTGAGAGTGAGGAAGCAGACTATAAATTATGCATTTCTGAGATAGAGTTAGGTCAGTACAGAAAGAAAAATGTAGTACTCCGTTCATGTCTCTAATGGCTAGTGATGTTGACCACTTTTTTCATGTGTTTGTTGGTCATTTGTACCTCTTTTTTTCTGTGCTATTAAAAATGAAAACTAAAAACAAAACTAAGTTCAAGGTCAACTTATTTGATAATAACTTAAAATTTTGTAAAGATAATATGTATGAAATAGGCGACTTGGCATATGTTAATTTGTAAGCTTCTTTTCTACTTTTATTGTATCCCACTGCAGACAAATAATTCTTCATGTGCAAGTGGAGGTACATGTGGTACCTGACCCAGGAACGTGCCCTGACCCTGTGGCCAGCTGCATGCGCACCTGATGAGCCGGTGACATCCATCGCCTTCAGGTTCCTGCACTTGATGACTGTCAATGTCATCCGTCCAGCAGTTGGCAAATAACACAGGGAAAACATGATCTCACCCAGGTCTATGCTTTCCTAGAGAGACAATCAGTAATGTTAGCAATTTCAAACACCCAATGCTGAAAGCAAAATGAAAAGGGGAAGACAAGAGTGAAGGAACTGCTTAGTGGAATAGCAGAATGTCATTTTCATTAATTTTACTAAAGATGCAGATAATATTTCAAGAAGTCTGTTCTAAAGGGAGTAGGAAGCAAGGAATGTGTCCCAGCTGCTCATGTGCCATCTACACTCACGTGTGTAACAAGAATCCCAAACTTACCACAAAGCCAGGTTGCTAATTGTGCACATTCTCCATCACCTCCACAAGACAATTCATTAACCTTTCCATTCATCAGCAAATGGCACCATAATTTGCCCACAGCCTTGAGCCAAAAGACATACAGATAAGCAGTCATTTTTCTTCTCCTCCCTTACCTCTGAGACACGGGTGGGTCTTGTTAATACTATCTGCAGGAAAATCATTGATCAGTGACTTGTTTTCCCTCTGTTTCTACCATCTAAGCTATCATCACCTCTTGGCAGGATGACTTTACTAGCCTCTGAAATTCCACCAGGAGTTCATCTTCAACTGCAGTCCAAGCGGTTGTGTATGAAATGTAAATCAGCTTGTATCACTCTTTTGCTCAAGCAGCTTGAAATAAAATTCAAACTCCTCACTCCAGCATATAAGTGGAATAACTGTCAGTCCTGATGCTCTGCCTGGGAAGATTTTTGATTTACACTGCTGTCCTGGTGTGACTGTTCAGTGCCTCTTTCTCTACCCTTCCATGCATTTTCATTGAGACAACCTTAAGTCATAGCCACAGGACCAGTTATTAGGACCCCACCTTTCTTTATAACTTACCAGTTCTAATGTAGACTCAAAAGTCTCTCTTCTGTTATACAAATGAATGGAGTTTGTTCCTGTTTTTGGTTTGCTCTCTCTGTCTTTGATGAGGCTTTCCTGCTTATACCCACCTAAGGCTAGGTGGGTGTGGCTAGGAAGGGGGCTGCCTTAATATTTCTGGTGTGATGATTTGAGGTGGGTTTGTTTTGGGGGAAACATATGTTGCTATGGACTCAGAGTGATGGCCTTATAAATTTTCCATGCTATACCATTAACCAAGCTTACTATTGCAGCTCAGGTTCCAATTGATATGATTTATACTCCTTTACTTATAGTCTAGAAATAGGAGAATCTAATAAGTTTGGACATAACCTTCAGAAGTAGCTAAGCTGCAGTTTGATTTCTAGTTTTCTGCTTCCTAGCTATGAGGTCCTAGGAAATTTAATTAAGCTTTGAATCTCCAAAATGTCATTTTCAATTTGAGTACTGTATCCACTTCACAAGGTTAAGAATTAAATGGGGTAATAGAGCGTGAGGCATTGAACACAGTGTCCAGCAATGGGACTGCAAGGTTTCAGATGGTTCACTGTTCTTATTGCTAGCACATGTCATAGAACAGGCACCATATAAATGAAAAAAGTTAATGTAGGGAAGCATCTATTTTTTAAGGAAAATTAATAAAATAAGTATTATAGAACAAAAATCTCATATTTACACATGGATCTTCTTTGGGCTGCTGGATTGCTGCAGACTAAAGATAGTATGCAAGATCTTAGAGGAAATGGATGAAGAAAAACAGGAAGAGCACCACCACCTACTAAGGAGGAGGAGATGCTTTTCACTGAAAATGATTGTGCTTTCGTTGCTAGACACAGTGGAAGCTGTCTTGGAAGCAAAGATGAATGTGGATGCATCTGCTCCAGAAGATCTCAGCTGAGAAGGAGGAGAACAGGCTACAGAGGGATGAGAAAATAAGTCTAAGTTCCATTTTATCTAATGGCTTTCTTTTTCTTTCCCAAAGTATTTCCTTAGATTCAGCACAGGGGCTGAGACTCTCAGTGGGCACTTCTCCTTTCAGTTACTATCAATAAATATAGGCATATTTTGTTGTTAGCTGCTCAAATTAAGGGATTGCTGAAGGTAGAACATGACATCAAGTTCCACTAAAAATTATGGTGGGCATGGTGATTGGGACACCAGGGGCGAAATTGGAGGATGGTCTTAGGCATAAAATGCTCAGAATTCAGCCAGCAGGGCACCTGGTGAAAACAAAAAAACTGCACAGACTGATCAAAAGGAATTAACAAAGAACATATTTACATGTCCAACTGCTATTTCTACACCTTACATGATCTTAGGAAGTCATTATTCCATGTAGCCGCATAAATTACAGACTTATTGGCTGTAATAAAGAGTGTTCAGCATGCTTGGCCCCATCTCAAAGATCCTTTCTATGGATTCAACCAAGGCGCAATATCGAGCATCTGTTATTGACAGACACTGATAAACACACAGCAGTGAGACCGATGAATTGACCGCAGCACTCTAGCCAGATAAGCAGAACATAAAAAGCACAGCTAAAGGGCGTCTTCCAGCAGCTCTGCACTACAAGCTTTTTGGTCTCGTGCCTAACACAGTGGTAAGACTTCTAATTACATATTCACATCCCATGCAGCCATGGATTTTAAGGAAACTGGAATGAACTGGATATTTAAAAACTAATATGTAGTATGCATGCGTAGTAATTGTGCGACACTTTAATGTTTCAGTAGACTGAATTTTCATTCAGCAAGCATGAATGTGAAGTGAAGAGATAGCCTACAATGCTCAGGAGGGAAGAACACCTTCTAAGACTAAGACCAGTGCTTTTCAACTTTGAAAACAGCAGGCACTTAAAAAATCAAAAGAAGGTGACCTTAATGAAGGCAAGTGGCTGCACGACCTTGCCGACAGTATTCCCAGAAATGGAAATACCTCAGTGAGCGGGTAGATTCTAGCTGTTCCTCTTTGCGGTCTGCCCTGCACACTTGTGCTTTATAAGGCCATGCTGCACCGACAATCCAAATTTTCTGGTACCCCGTAATGAAGCTAGAAATATGCAGAAGGTCTCTAGAGACACAGCATAAATCTAAGAAAATTATACACTAAAGCTCTTTTATGAAGGAGATTACATAACCTTGTATTCATTGCTCACTTACTGGTGGTTGGTTTGTTTTTTATGTGTTTGGTACAGGGTCTCAACATGCAGCTCAGACTTGTAGTGATCTTACTATTTTCAGCCTTCCCAGAGCTTGGATTACAGGCGTGCACCACCATGGCCGGTCTTGGTGGCCAGCTCAGTGCACCCGGGAGCAGGGCCTGTGGTGCAGGGGATAAATGGTCACAAAATAAGAATGGGCGATGTGTGTTGGAAACTATGGAGCTTGGTGTCATGCTGGAGGAGGCTTGGACTAGAGACAGTCTTCTGTGAGCAAGAGGGAGCCAAAGACTCTGGTGATGGCTCAGTGGAGGAACAGAAGTCCCTGGGTTAGAAATGTCCGAGCTCAACCCCTGAATATTCCAACACTAGTTTCCAAGTTATGGCATCAATCTTGCAGGGTAGGTACCAAACAAGTAAAGTGCCTGGTAGAAGCAGATGTTCAAAAAATAATAATGGTCATAATGAAAATAGTATTTGAAGAACTCTCTTTCTCCAGAAAGGGCTAGATTGAGATGACAAAGGACAAAAGATGAGAGAGGTGAAGCAAATGAGGGTGGTATGGGAGGAGCAGAAACAGCAAGGCCTGAATTCAGCTATGTATTGAAAGTAAGGATAAAAACTTTGTTTTTTTTAAACAAACTTTAAACAATTAGTTGCTATGGTGACAGGAATCATCATACCTGCTTAATATCCTAAGTTCAGGCTGATTTGACATTTTCTTGAGGGTGGAAAAACAGATAATATTTTTCATGAACTTCCTGAGGTTGAGTCTTTCATCCACTGAACACAAAAGGAAGCTCTGGTGAAGGGCAGACTCCCCTAGTCTGCTGCATGCAATGTACTGCAGTTATTTAATTCTTTCTGGCCAGCACCTCTCCACCAGCTGGGGAAATAGTGGACTTTGATGTTGAGCAATCTGCTTCACCTCACGTGACCTCAGTATCCTTATTTAAGATGATGATGTTCAACGAGATTAATTTGTGTCCTAGCTCTGAAACTTTATAACTAAAAACATTAGTAAAAAATGAGGACTACATGGAACATACATGCAGGAATGCTCTGGAACATGTAGAGAGGCCCAGGCTGGGCATTCCTGATAGCACTGGTGAAACCTCACAGAAAAGACTACAAAGGATGCACTGGGGCTGATATCTCAGTTTTGATATTAAGAACATGCAGTCATGAAACAATGGCTATCACTTAAATTTCTATAAAGTGTGCTAGGTCAGAAAAGTTCTAATCCTCATAGCAGAGTATTAGGGTTGATTACTTAGGGCTTCATGAAGAAAGGCCATAAAGTCTAGTGGAAATATTATGTGACTTATGCTGACCTTGAATTGTTAAGAATCCCACAACAATTTACTGGTATTTGCTGGACACAGAGCTCTTGCCATGTAACTCCTCAACATGACACATGTGGCCCAGGTCCCCCAATTTTTTTCTTCCTTAATTATACAAATATTATTTTATGCTCCCTCAACCTCAAATAAATACACAACAACCATGGCAAATGCATCATCAGTCCCTTAATATCTGTTCGAGCATTAGATGCTCATATTTGCAGACCATACCAAATGCCAGGCACTGTTCTAGCCATTCGGAGAACACTCATGACCAGGACAAACTTTGTATCCTTCCTGATCTCACAGGTGATATTCAGGAGAAAAGATAGGAAACATGACATTGGCAAAACCACACATTTATATGCACAAGATGGTTAAGGCAATGATCCTGAGAATCTTTAGCAGGTTTTTGGTAGGACTAGCAGTTAATTGGTAGGATTCTCACCCTGACTAACTATATATGCTGATACCTATGAACTAAGCAATTGAACTGAACATAGCAATGTGTAATACTAGGGCCATGCTTTGAATGCCTGTCATTCTGGTCTTCTAAATACGTACTGCTTCTAATGTCATATCAATTACTGCTATACTGTCTCTCAAGTAAATGTTTGTTTAAAAAAAAGGGGGTTATAAATGAAAACAA